AGAGTTTGAAACATTACTCGAAAGGGAATGTTTCGAGTAATGTTTCAAACTCTCTTCAATTGTAACGTTTCGGCTATGTTTCACTAAATAAGTTTTCAAGTGCTACATTTCTGTAATGCAACAGAAACGTTTCTAGTTAATGTTTCAAATGTTCAGTAAAACATCTCATTTGCAACGTTTCATTTACGTTTCGTGTTTAGTGGGTAGGTTATATAAAATGCGATCGTCATAATGTTAATATTATTTTCATTGCTATTTAACTAATTTCTGTAAACCATATAAGTTTTACTGAACGTATCTTGAATTTATCAACTTCTCGTTTTTTTATCTGGCTATCTGTCGAATTTTATAAAATTCAAAAAATTTAATCTCATAAATATTTTCCACCTAGCGCCACCTACCAAATTGTATCAGAAACATTATTATTTCCCAAACCCATTTCAAATTTCTTCTATACCGAGAACGAGCTCTAGCTCCACCTACCTCTGTTTTACATTTAAAGCGACAAAGAGAGAAGTATTGCGTTTAATACGGTTCAGAGAAAGATAAAAAACAGAGACAACTTTTCCCTATCAACTCGGATCTCTGGTTGGTACTCTGTGAATTTGAGCGAATGCGCCTATCTGGGGACTATCCTGTGAAATGACTCTAAAGAGTAGAGCAATAGCTGAACACATCAGGAACTTTTCCTTTCCTAGACTATTATTGGAAAGTAGTTATTGTCAACTTGCTGTTACGAAGACGAAGGAGAACAAAAACCATCTACATGTACATATGTATGTACATGAGGAGTAGAGATATTATTATTATTATTATTATTATTATTATTATTATTATTATTATTATTATGTTTTAATTAAGGTTATAATATCTAAAAACTAGAATTAGGCAGTGTTGTTCCTGTCGGTACAAATGTACTGAAATCAGCACAATTAACTGTTTTGCAGTACATCAGTACACTGATACTGATTTTCAGTCCTTGCGGGACTGACTGCTTTATTTTTAAAATGTTAATAAATATGAATGACGTCACGCAATTGTTTCATTGTCGGCATAATTTTCAGTCTTGCCACGTTTAAAAAAAACTTTTCGTAATTTAATGTAACCATTTAATGTAATATTTAAGGCTTTTTTTCGTGTGTGAAGTCGTATGTTGTGGTATGTGTAATATGAGTGAGTAAAGAGATTTAAACTACCATATAACAACTAAGATCAAAAGAGATTGAAATAGTGGCCACAAGTCAGATATTCACCAATATTCAATCGCGAAAAAAGCCTATAGTTTCATTATTCTCAGTTGCGATTTCTTTTATATTTTGATAAAAATATGACGTTTGTTCATAATATGAAGTGTATTGCTTGAATTCCTGCAGCTACTATACCATTTTGTATATTTGTACAATGTACACTTAAAATTAGATATTAAAAAGTTAGTCATTATTGTGTTTCTTTTCACATACAATCTGATTCGACGTTTTATAAGTATTACACACATACTATTCAAGTATTGCCTTTTAAAATTTTGAACTTCCCGCGTCAGTACAATTTAGTTTCAAATCAGTACATTGGTATCACTAATTTCAGTACATAGAAATATATCCCAGGAACAACACTGGAATTAGGTATTTTATTTACATTTTAAAGCAAATTGTTGCCATGAGTGGTGTTCGAGAAATTGTGTGTAGGTTTTGTCTTAATACTGTAACTGATAAAAGTTTCGAAATAATAGACAACGCTACTAAAGACATTCTACATGTTCTGTTGCTGAAATTGGTAAGTCAGTGAAATGGATTTAATCTCGACTAACGTTTCGAGATTCTCAACACGTTCAAAGCGAACAATAATCTTTTTTTTTTACTTGATTGTTACTTTCTGCCACAGTTTTCTTTTCGTTTGATTAATGTTGCATTTTCAGAAATTTGATGATGAGAGCAAAGAGGTTATATGTAATGTTTGCAGAAGAAAGTTACATGCAGCATTTCAGTTTAAGTCAATTTGTCTGAATAGCGACAACACAATTATTCCATATGTGGATAGCGAGAAAATGTTACAGCTCGATATAAGAGATGTGTATGCGAAGGAAAATACCAGCGAGTCAATGGATATTTCAGATAATCAGAAAATATGTCGATTGTGTATGCAGCCAGTAGAAAGTGAGTTTAGGTGCATACGTGAAGAGGAACTTGAAGCTATCGAGAAATTGGCTCCTGAAATGGTATCGATGATGTTAAATGCTTGCATATTTCGCAATAAAAAAATTATACTTTGTAGATTACAGGTATCATCAAAGATCCCATTGTATGTAATTCATGCTTTGATTCTTTGTGTACCCACAACAGTTTCCTAAAACATTGCCTAAAAGTAGAAGAAAAGATTAGTGATAGTCCAGACACAGAAAGTTCAACAGATATATCGCCATGTGGTTTATTCGTTAAGACTGAAAACCTGGACAAAGAATTTGATATTAATGAGATGGAATTGTCGATCAAAGCTGAAAGTATCGATATAAAATCAGAAGATGAAGAAAAGAGGTATTTTTACATTAATATTATACAATTAAATCAGCGTATATTGTTAACTACACATATTATTAAATTGTTACCAAAATACCGTATACGGGGTGACCGCGTTTTTTGTGGCAGATAACAAAAAAAGTTGTATTTTTGATAGCTAAATCTGAGAAAAATTTCAAACTAACCAAAAAGTAGTGGCTTACCATATTTTTTTATATTTTTATCAAGCTGGTGTCTTGTTGTGATGCCACTGGAGAAAATAGGACATATTAAATTTTGTGAGAAAATGAGTATTATTATTACAAAGTTGCAAAGTTCCAACAAAGTCTAAAAAGGGGTTTTCAATTTAAGAATAAAAAATTAATTCTCATTTTAAACTTGAACACTCTGTAAATCGAAAACGACGCAACTATACATATATGTTTACATGAACTTTTTTTTTAAAGGACTTTTAGTACAAGTTGTGAAAGTCCTGCTACAAAAAACGCGGACACCCTGTATATGTAATTTTTTTCAGCAACACGCTGCTGCAGAGTTCCGATATAGGACCATACGACAAGAGCGATTGTAAATATGAGAATGGATCAACAAACGAACGTAATTCGAAATCCAAGAAGAAGCTCAAAGTATCGTACAAATGCGATAAATGTATTTACAAAACTAGAAGCGAGAGCTGTTTTACGGCACACTGTGCAAGACACGAAAACAGTGCAGAGGTGTATAAATGTGAATCCTGTAAATATGAAACTCAAAATAAGAAATTATTTCAAAAGCACCAGTTGGGACATAGAAACCCTTCGAAAATACATATACATCAGTGCCAATCGTGTAATTACAAGACAAAGAACAGGTGTGAGCTTGCTAAGCATCAGGTGAAACACAAAAGCGCATCTGAAGTACGATTGTACAAGTGCGACTTTTGCGATTTCAAAACAAAATTGAGGATTAGCTTTAATAACCATTGTATAAAACACAAAGACTCAAACAAATGTGATGAGTATGACTGTAAGACCAAATACAACTCATTGATACATAAGGACGCTTCGCAACTGCCAATTTATAAATGCGAGGAATGCAACTACAAATCAAAGAATAATACACTTTTAATCAACCATCAGTTGGTACATAAAGATCCCTCGCAGATCAAAATGTACAGATGTAAGGACTGCGATTATGAAACTAGATACAAAAGGAATATCAAAGGGCACCAACTAAAACATAAAGATCCTTCACAGGTTCAAATGTACAGATGTAAAGACTGCGATTTTGAAACTAAACACATACGATCTATCAAATGGCATCAATTGAAACATAAAGATCCATCACAGGTTCAAACTTACAGGTGTAACGACTGTGATTATGAAACTGTATACAAGAAATATATCAAACATCACGAACTGATGCATACAGAAAAGTACAGATGTAACGAGTGTGATTTTCAAACTAAATACAAGAGGAGTATCAAACGGCATCAACTGAAACATAAAGATCCATCGCAGGTTCAAATGTACAGATGTAGCGACTGTGATTACGAAACTGTATACAGAGATTATATGGAACGACACCAACTGAAACATATAGATCCTTCGCAGGTTCAAATGTACAGATGTAATGACTGTGACTACAAAACTATATGCAAGAAATATATCAAACGGCACGAACTGATGCATAAAGATCCTTCGCAGGTTCAAAAGTACATATGTAACGAGTGTGATTTTCAAACTAAATACAGGAACAGTATCAAACGGCATCAACTGAAACATAAAGATCCTTCACAGCTTGAAATGTACAAGTGTAACGACTGTGATTTCGAAACTAAATACAGAAAATATATAAAAACGCATCAACTGAGGCATAATAGACCTTCACGAGTTTAACTGCACAGGTGTAATGACTCCAATTATAAAACTAGACAAGAATGTCAAATTACATCAACTGAGTCATAAATATTTTTTGTCTGTTCTAACGTACGGCTGTAACAACTGCGATTACCAAACCGAATACAAGGGTTTCATGATACGGCACCAACAGAAACATCCTTCACGATTACAAAACTGAAAACAAAAATTATTTGAAATGACACCAATTAAAACATAAAGATCCTTCGCAGATTCAAATGTACAGTAATGACTGATTACAAAACCAAATACAGGAGTTATATCAAACAGCACCAACTGAAACATAAAGATCCTTCGCATATTCAAATATACAAGCCTAATGACAGCAATTACCAATCTGAATACAACGAACACAAACTGAAACACAAAGATCTTTCGGGTTCACATATACTGATGTAACGACTAGGATTATGAAACTAAATGTAGGAGCAGTATTAAATATCATATAGAGTTCTTAAATGCAAATGTACCAGTGTGATTTGCTAACAGCGAAGAGTTTGAATATGGCACCGATCGTAAATATGTGAATATGACTTTATTATATACAGGGTGTCACAGTTTTAATCTGTCAAACATTGGGAGCGAATTGAACAACCAAGAATAATGTTACTATGTCTTGTATTTTGAAATATGAACCATTTTCGAGATAGAGGCTTTTGAAAACCCCCGAAAAATGTTCCCTCTGAAATAGTAGATATTCGGGTTCTGAAAAAAAAAAGTACAAATATCTTATTATTTCAGGGACTATTTACAGCTAATGGATTTTTTTGGGGATTTTTAGACCTCGTTTCTCGAAAATTGTGAGATATCGAAGTAAGGAAGACAAAGTACCGTTTTTGGTTGTTCTAAATACCCTTAATGTTTAATTGATTAAAATCGGGACAACCTGTATTATCATCTATAAACTCTATTTGTACTGAATAAGAGGACAATTAAATAAAGCATTTTTTTCACTTAAATTTTTAATTATCCTCAAAAATGTTCAAAGCATCCTCCTCCCCTTGTCATTCCTATGCAGCGGTAGTTTTCAGCAATGCAATCTGTCCCGTTATTCACATCCAGCTCAAAAACTTAATATTTAATTGCTCATATGATTTTCGAGATGAGCGTTGCGGTAAACCAGAAGTGGATGCTTTGAAAAAATTCTGTACTTAACAGTTTATACGGTTGACCAGTAGGGTAAGACCAGTTGGAAAACCTTGAAATAAATTTATCATTGTAGTAGGGGGTATAAATTTGGGCATTGAACTTATCACGGTACACTGAAAGATATTTGTAACTTTATGTCTACATTGGGCATTACTCACCTTATCAGCGAACTGACTAGAATTACTGGTAATTGTAAATCATGCCTTGACAATATTTTAACTAATATAAACTTAGATAAATCGGTAGCAGGCACGTGTGACCCTATGGTATCCGATCATCTGGGTGTCTTACGTGTATACGATATGTCGCCAATTCATCGCATTGACTTTTTTTAGGAACAGAATTGTAAATAAAAGTAAAATTCACGAATTTACTGTTCGGTTGAGTGATGTGCAGTGGGATTTTAGTCACATTGACAATTTGAACGGTGAAGGCTTAGCTTTAATGATTTTAAGTGCGTTGCATTCAATAGCCATTGCTACTTTTTCAATGAAGTGTTTAATAAAAAATTGTTACTGCTTACCATTTCTTTTATTACAATAGTTTAGAAAATATTTAATATTTAATGCGCTTAGTCGTTTTAAAAATATCAATGGAATAAGTTACTAGTACACGTTTAAATAATAATTACCTTAACTTTTAACATTATATTTGAAAAGATTTAACACAGTAAGACGAGTATTTTTATATAACTCCTGAAAGTGTGAATGAACCAGAAAATAATAATTTTCACATTTTAGAGGAAATTTGAAACATTAAACAATATTTATCTAAATTAGAAACCTGCAATATTAACTTTTTGCGATTTTTGAAATATGCAGTGAAGGAAATTTTATAGATGTTACTATAAAACATCTTCAATCACATGTCCGTATTCCATAAAAGAGGGGCTGTCAATGCTATGAGCTCAAAATTCAGTTTATTTTTGTTGCGTACATTTAAAACGTGCTTGGAACGTTTACTTTTAGTACAAATATGTTTCGTTTTCTTTGCATTGTTTATATTTCAGCAGATTTTAATGAAATATATTTTTGCTCCTTGTAGTTTTATTTAAATTATTTATTCTAATAAATGTAGTTTTTCCAATAATCGAGAACTACTACGAAATAATAGAACTAAGAGCACGCAATGACATTCATCATATTTTGTAGCATTGGATACTTGTAAAATTATGTTCGCTTGGTACCTATAGTATAATGACAGTTTCAATCGAGGAGTTTTCTTTAGTCATTCTTTTGTTCTGGAAATGTTTCTAAAATATTAATTATATATTTTGAAGAAACCGCTATCTTTTTCCTATTTATTGTCTATTTATTACACATGAAAGCTTAAATAATCGAGCATTTCAGATTTTATCAAATTCTATTAAAAAGTATAATTTTTATGGTTTCCTTATATTATGATTTGATTATGATTTTAAACCTAAACTCGGTACGCCACTGTACCAGGGACCATTGAGTTTACTTATATATCATTTGTTTATCAACATACAATAGGTTGTGGTTACATGTTTATACTGTATACTGAAATAGGGAATGCGGTCTCTCCTTTATTTATTACTCTGAAGTTTTTGAGATTTTCTAACCTAAAAGTGCAAAAAACTATTTTTCGTCATATTTGAGGTTATGTAGTAATGCCATCTATTCTTAAAAAAAACTAATACATTGAATCTAAAAGTACAAGGGTCCCTCCTTCGAATGCTGTAGATTTGCTGAAATATCTTTTTTTTTCGTTGAGATATCACATGTTGAAATTTTTAAGTTTCTCAGTTTCTTAATATGCGAAAATCTATTAATGATCCCTTAGACATCAAGCAGTCGATTGCAATTCAGAAACTTCATACCCATACGGTTTGTGGGTTTGGAGTTTGTGAGTTTGAGTTCGTATGTATTCAAGGTTTCTGAACTGCAATCACCCGTTTGACATCTAAGAAATCCTTAGTAGATTTTTGCATATTAAGAAACTGATAAACTTAGAAATTTCAACATGCGATATCTCAACGAAATAAAAAGATATTGGAACAAACTCTACGGCATTCGAAAGAGGGAGCCTTGTACTTTTAAATGATATGTATTTTTTTTGAAAAAGAATGGCATTACTACATAACCTCAAATATGACGAAAAACAGTGTTTTCTGCACTTTTAGGTTAGGTTATCTCAAAAACCTGACGTGACACAGCAATTCTGCGGCCAGAATCGGATTCAGCGCACCAAAATCCTTTGGGAATGCTTATTAGTGTGTCTGTTTCTTGACCCTTGTTGGCCTGTTATTCACACAATCAATAATTCACATTCAAAAATTGCCAAGCCTGAAGTAAGAAAAAACACGTGCCAGCTCGAAGAAATGATACCAAAAAATACAAAAACTTTATCATTATGTACTGCTAGTCGCCTACTCAGAAGGCTTAATAGTATTTAAGTTTAATTCCTGATCAGAATATACCTCTATGCAAATCACTTGTAAATTGTTGAATGTTGCTAAATAAAATTTGACGCACTGTTGCGGAAGTATTTAATACCCGGTTTGCATATACCAAAAATTTGGGGGTTGTTCTTCAGCCAGAACTCTTGACGTTACAAGGGTGACCCTTTTTATTTTTTTAGATACGGATTAGTTTGCAGGTTTTCATGTACCGGAAAAGACCAAAGTGAAGCTATGTAAAAACAAACAAAAGTAAAGGGTTCCGTATTTTAATAAATAAATAAATAAAATAAATAACCTTTATTTTCCTTAGACTTTATAATAAAGTAGGGGAATAGTCAATAAAACAAAAAACAGATTAATACAATGTAATGCATATGTAAAGAATTTCTATGCAATTCATTTAATCTTACGTATAGAGGGTGGTCCCGAGGTAATGGGCCAAAATTTACGGGTAGATTCCCGAAGCAAAAATGTTGTCATTTAGCCGAATTTACTTTAGTCCAAAAGTTGATAGTTAAAGAGATACAGGGTGTTAAATGTAAAATATCATTTTACTTTATTTTCATTTATTTCTTAGTAAATGCAAATATCTACACAAAAGTTTGGGGTTTTGTGGGTATAGGAATTGAAATTTGTTCAGGTTTTGGTTATAGTTCATAGAGGGCGCCAGCTGCCGTAGATTGAATGTGTTGAAAATGACATAATTTTTTTTACTTTAAGGTCCCATCTTTGGTATCAAATTCTTATTTTCCAACTTTTTTTACACAAAAAAGGTAAACTTTATGAAAGTAGCTGTCCCGCACCGTTTCCGAGATATTTGGCTTTGAAACTTCCAATGCTAATAGTTGAAATAATTAAAATAATTTAGAAATGTCAAAAACAAGGGTTTATTTAGAATTAAATATTGTAATGCACAGTAAAATAGTAAACATTAGTAAAAAATATGCCCTTTTGACAATAATTGTTCAAAATGTCCACCTCTAACTTCGATACATTTATCAACGCGCTTATTAAAATATTGTCTCATTTGTATAAATCCTTAACGCGAAATGACTTTGCAGCATTTAAAACCCGCTGCTCAAGTTCTTCTCAGGTGTTTATAGTTTCCGATTTCATGTAACTCCAAAATCGAAGCATTCTATCTCACATTTATGTATACGAGTAAATAATTTAAATTGTGAGCTAAGATGTAATTTTAATTAGGTACGAATAATACTTAATAGAAATTGGCAGACACATGACAGCAATAAGACAAGTGGAAGACGTCAATTATTTGATTTTCGTCCAAATCCTACTTAAGAAACTACCGTTAAATTAATAATACCTGTAGGTACTTAATTATTATTTAATGCAACAGCATTGGAAGTTTCAAAGCCAAATATCTCGAAAACGGTACGAGATAGCTACTTTCATAAAGTATACTTACCACTTTGGTGTAAAAAAAGTTGGAAAATAAGAATGATACCAAAGATGAGATACCTTAAAGTACAAAAAAGTTATGTCGTTTTTAATACATTCAATCTACCGCAGCTAGCGCCCTCTATGAACTATAACCAAAATGTGAACAGATTTCAATTCCTGTACCCAGAAAACTCCAAACCCCAAAATTTTTTGAAGATATTTGCATTTGTTAAGGAATAAATGAAAAAAAAAATCTGAAATGATATTTTACATTTAACACCGTGTATCTCTTTAACTATCAACTTTTGGACTAAAGTAAGTTTGGCTAAATCGCAATATTTTTGCTTGGGAAGTCTGCCCATAAATTTTGGCCCATTACCTCGGGACCACCCTGTATATTCATATAATAGCACAGAATATATAGCTACGCTACAGAAGGCTCGTGCAATGTATTAAAATATAGTCCCCGAAAAGAAGCCGGCTCTAAAATCCAGCTTCTTTCAAACTGCGCATGTACAGTAGAGAGTGTAAGTTTAGCTCCTAGCTCGTAGGTGACGCCAGAGGCGAGTCGGATTATTGCCCCGTTTAGACAGCGTTGCCGGATGTAAATTTTACAGGAATTATTAGGATATTATCAAGGCAAATAAAGTTCTATTTGCCCTGATATTATACCTAAACGATGAAAAGTATTAAATAATATATATGTTATGTATAATATGCATTTCTATATACCAGTGACAACTTACATTTTTTAATTTACAATTAAATTGTAATTAAGAATATACATATGTACAAATAAAATACATACAGGGTGTCTCCTAAACGCCCCAACCCATAACTTCGTTATTTATAGTCCGATTTCAAAAAATAACAAGTCAAATAAAGTGGTTCTAAATACAGTTCAGAGGAAGCCGACTGCAATATTTTTAAACTTTTTTTTTTGAAAAGCAATAATCAACTTTTTTTTTTAAATGGCAATAGTTTTTTTGCATTTATTATTGTGCAGATTTTTTTTCTGTATACGATGACGTATAAAACATGGACTTTTGTAAAAGATAACATCACAAAAAAGAGTCAAAATGTTTGTCATTACTGCAGAACTACTCCTATTGCGGATTATTGCAGATACCTGAATAATTCATAATTGGTAAATACTTATATTGATTAATGTAACAAGCAAGGATGAGAGTTAGTAACGAATCCTGAAACAATCCCCGACAATATACAGAGTAAGTATTTTTCTGATAGTATATGCTCAGAAAGTTTCCTCCTTCAAAGCATAATTTACTCGTTCTTTTTAAAAATTGATTAAGTGCTCAAAATCGCCTGTTTCGTTTTTGGTGCGCCACTCTGCAACAAACTGAAAAAAAAACATTTAACCGAGTTTTTTAGAAATTTTAAAAATATTTAAATAGGTAATGAATAATAATATTTTTTGTCTTATAATATGTTAGGTATATGTGACGTATGTTTTGAGAAGTTCTATGAATTTGCTAAAGCGCGAGTAGTATACAGTACAGTATTAAACATGATTCTGGGTTAAAATTGTAAATCGTTGCACCTGCACTCGCGCGCGCTGGCTAAGCTAGGGCGTAGGTCTAGGGCCTGCATTCAAATGTTTTTATACAATTTTTTTTCACATAGCGGCAGATCATTTCATTTCAGTTTGTTTCACTAGTGTTAAAGTGCACAGACTAGAATAGAATAACAATAATGGCTGGAAACAAGTGCCAATATTTTAATTGTGGTGAAACTCGAAAATCGGGAGTTCGAATGTTTCGGTTCCCACATAAAAATGAAGATTTATGCAATAAATGGCTTATACATTGTGGTAAGTGTAAAATTCTTACATACGTGAATAATACTACTGACTGCATTTTTTGAATCCATAATTTTATTTTTGCAAATAATAATTTAAAAATATAAGATTGTATAATCCCACTGTCCTTAATAATAATTTTTCAGATATTAATTTTGCTTTTTTAATACATGTACAGTCGCCGCAACATAAAGGTTTCCAACGTAAGAGGTTTACTAACTTTAAATGACCGATGCTCTGAGTTATTAATAAGAATTTTGAAGATTTACGGCTGTCAGTAATTGCTTTTACTTAGGAACATATAATAAAAAAATTGCAGACTGCATATAGGCAAGCGGTTAAGCTCTCATAATTTAAACAAAATATCGTTCTCGATCTCAGTAGAAACCTTTATGTTGCGAGTGTACATACAATAACATAAATTACGATAATAATTTACTATATCATAAAATTTTCAAGTCTTAATAAAAATATTCTACCCTATTTTCGACGGTGCTGAAGACGAATTTGAAGTTTTTTTCGGACGATTCTAGTTTTTTTAGAAAAGTTCTCCATTATGAAAAAGTTTTCTTAATCAAATTTTGACGTATCTTACGGCATTTTGTTATCGAAAATATTCAGGCAGAAATTGAAAGTACGGCTATGACACTGAAATTGTGTACACCTACCTAATTTTTTATTCGGAGAAACTTTTCTTAATAACATTTTGTCATATCTTGTACAGAAATGCCACTTTACTAGTGACTGAAATCAAACTTTTCAAAATTTCCAAGGCATACTGAATTTTACGAACTTGAAATCGTGGCACATCAATCCCAGAAGACCATATTGTAACTCTAAAATTTTTTGTCATTTACAAGAGTCGTATCACCTCTCCGACGACACAATGTATGTTTATTATTGCATTTTGATAAATATTTTATTTATTATGTGTTATGTGTTATGTGTACAACTAATTTAACACTTGCCACTTTTTATTTTATTTATGCATTATTCTTATAATGCACCCTGTTACCATTTATTTATTTATTATAATGTTTATTTTTGTTTTTATTTGCTTATTTCATATATTTATTTATAATATATATATTTTTATTTATTTTCAGATTTGTGTTTTCATTATTTTCAAAATTCCTACTTTCTTGTATTTTATATATTTTTTGTTTACATAAAAAGTTAGTAAAGACATACATGTTACAATTTTAAGTCGAAATTTATAAGGTTACCTACCTTAGTTTAAATATATGTGTGTTTCGTAACTATAGTCCGTAGCTTCGTAGCGCAATTTCCTTTGGATATTTTAAGAAAACGCTTCGTTTCTGAGATTCAGAATGTTGAATTTAATATCTTCTAAATGCTGTTTTCTAGAAATTGAATTTTGGTACACCGTGTACTCGACTTTGTATTAACGAAAAGTTAAAATTTACATATAACAGACATTATGATAGAAAATATTAAATAAATTTAATAATCCCTTAAGACATTTAAGTGGCACACCCTGTATACTTATTTAGTCCTGCATATATAATTGTTTACGTTTATTTATTACAAGTATGTGAAAACAATTCTTAAAATGTGGGGTGAGGACATCAGTAAACGCATTTTTAAAAGTTATTATTTTATTTGGGTAAATTTAAACAGTAACAATGAGTAAAGAGTACTTCAAGGATTTTATTTTTGTGTTTACTTTTGTTCTACACGTTTTATATTTCAAGGTTTCAGTACCTAAATACGCCAAAAATTTAACTATTTCACGATCGGGAATATGGCCGCCGGCCACCTTAAAATTCATAAACGCAACGCGCTTTATTAAGATAGAAACATGTGACAACAGCGGCAGTACCAATAAATGGTTGTCATGGAAACGGACGCGCTAGTCTGCTTTTTTGGAATACCGCTATATTCCTAAGTTTTGAAATTTTAACAAGTATGCATCGTCGTGCCGTCTATCAGCCACCTTAGGACCTATTCGCTAAATACATTCCCAAGAACCTTCTGTAGCGTAGCTATATATTCTGTGATAATAGTCATAATAAAAACTACAGTAAGATTTAAACTTATTATATTTACGCCTTAAAATAATACTGACAAAATACAATAGAGAACAGTGTTAGTACAATAACGTTTCTTTGCACTTGTCACCCTGGCCCCCCTACACAAATTACGAAGAATTAAATGAAAATTATAAATTACATAGGAGGCGGGGTTAATTTTAAATGTGTACATATAAAAATTAGAAATCAAAAAAATTAATGAAACAAATAAACATTTATCTAATCATAGAAAATAAAGGTGGTTACTGCAAAATTCGTTTAGCCGACAGCCTCTCAAACCAAAGCCGTCATAATCTTGCCGCATCCACATATACAAAACTCCCACTCATAAGGACAACACAAATAATTAATTTAGAACAGGACAAATAATGAATATCAGGCTGGAGTATTGGTAAAAAGCCGGTGTATATTACAAAATATTGTATGTTTTTACCGATAGGCTTTACATTTTACACATTTACATATTTATGGTCAGTCTCTTAAATGCCCCAATTTTTGACTGGATTTTGCACTTCAATGGGCAGTACTGCATTTGAATCTGCGACATACCTTTGCATGCTCATAGATCCGTGAAGGCTCTCTACGCTTCAACATGTAATATTTTATACCACTCCTGCATTTGGATTCCTAATCGCAGTCGGTACACCTTCTCTATGTGTCAGTTGATGCCGTTTGATATAACTCTTATATTTAGTTTCGAAATCGCAGTCATTACACCTGTACGTTTGAACCTGAGAAGGATCTCTATGCTGCAGTTGATGCTTTACGATGTAACTCCCGTATTTAGTTTCGAAATCGCAGTCATTACAACTGTACCTTTGAACCTCTGAAAGATCTTTATGTTTCAGTTGGTGGTTTTTAATATTATTTTTGTATTTAGTTTCGTAATCGCAGTCGTTACACTTGTACATTTGAACCTGGGAGGGATCTTTATGTTTCAGTTCATGCAGTTTGATATAGTGGTTGTATTTACATTCATAATTACAGTAGCTACACTTGTACATTTGCACCTGAGAAGGATCTTTATGATTCAGCTGATGCTTATTGAGATATTTCTTGTTTATAGTTTTGTAATCGCAGTCGTTACACCTGTACGTTTGAGCCTGCGAAGGGTCTTTGTGTTTCAGTTGGTGGTTCTTAATGACATTCTTGTATTTAGTTTCGAAATCACAGTCATTGCACCTGTACTTTTGAACCTGTGAAAGATCTTTATGTTTCAGTTGATGGTTTTTCATATCACCCTTGTATTTAGTTTTGTAATCGCAGTCGTTACACTTGTACATTGGAACCTGCGAAGGATCTTTATGTTTCAGTTGATGCTGTTTAATATATCTCTTGTATATAGTTTTGTAATCACACTCATTACACGTGTACGTTTTAACCTGCAAAGGATCTCTGTGTTTCAGCGGGTGTTTTTTCATTTCATTTTTGTATTTAGTTTCGTAATCGCAGTCGTTACACCTGTACATCTGGACCTGCGATGGATCTTTATGTTTCAGTTGGTGGTGTTCGAAATATTTCTTGTATATAGTTTTGTAATCACAGTCATTACACCTGTACGTTTGAACCTGCGAAGGATCTTTGTGTTTCAGTTGGTGAAGTTCCATATTATCCTTGGAATTAGTTTTGTAATGGCAGTCGTTACACCTGTACATTTTGACCTGAGAAGGATCTCTATGCTGCAGTTGGTGTTGAATGATGTATTTCTTGTATTTAGTTTCGAAATCGCAGTCCAGACACATGTACTTTTGAACCTGTGGAGGATCTTTATGTTTCAGTTGGTGTTTTTTCATATTACCCTTGTATTTAGTTTCGTAATCGCAGTCGTTACACTTGTACATTTGAACCTGTGTACGATCTTTATGTTTCAGTTCATGCAGTTTGATAGAATTGTTGTATTTACATTCATAATTACAGTAGCTACACTTGTACATTTGAACCTGAGAAGGATCTTTATGCTTCAGCTGATGCTTTTTGAGACATTTCTTGTTTATAGTTTTGTAATCGCAGTCCTTAAACCTGCACGTTTGAACCTGCGAAGGGTTTTTGTGTTTCAGTTGGTGTTTCTTCATGACATGCTTGTATTTAGTTTCGAAATCACAGTCATTGCACCTGTACTTTTGAACCTGTGAAAAATCTTTATGCTTCAGTTGGTGTTTTTTCATATCACCCTTGTATTTAGTTTTGTAATCGCAGTCGTTACACTTGTACATTTGAACCTGCGAAGGATCTTTATGTTTCAGTTGATGCTGTTTAATATATCTCTTGTATATAGTTTTGTAATCACACTCATTACATCTGTACGTTTGAACCTGCAAAGGATCGTAAATACGTTTATCACATTTGTAAAATACTTTGACTTTCGTGTTACATTCGTTTGCCGATGTATTCTCATGTTTACATCCATCCTCTTCTGCATCTCTAAGGACGGTCTTCTCGAATGATTTACTATCGGAGCTCTGCAGTAGCGAGTCGCTGAAAAAATTACATATACAGGGTATTTTCCAATGTAAGGTGTTCATTGTAGGGGGTGATAGGTTATTGCAAATGCAATTATAAGTTTCTGAACTACACACGTCATTATTTCAGTTTTATTATCATATAAATTATATTTTTGACGACAGTCACATTTGTTCTGAAGATATGTTAAAAATAATTAATTATGATAAAAACCCTTAGAAATACAAGAAATTACGAACGGAAATTAAAGTCCCGTTTCATCTAACAAAGTACTACAATATTCATATAGATGTCGCTACAGGAAATACGTTTGTAGTAAAAATAGTACGATTATTTCATTCATTCAAATTCCCGCAAAATACACCTAAAAAAATCTTGCTTAAATCACTCTCTTGCTATCGCATAATTGCATACGAAAAGAGAAGGGTAATAAAATAATAAAAACTCCAATTTGCAATAATCGGTTTTTTTGTTTTGAAAATATTTCTATTTCCTATCCTCTACATATTATTACAAATGTACATATTTACATAAAAGGACGATGGCAAGTGGTTGTACAAATTTATAACATTTGCAACCAACTGAAAGTTTCATTTCATATTATATTCTACGTTTTAGTACTTATATGGATTCGGACTAGAGCAGGAGCGAATGTAATTATTTCTTGTGTGGATCTTTGAGCTGTTATCTTTTATTGTTGCATTGCGGCTGCGAAATATTTTATTTGTGGACTTTACCATTTTTTAAATGAAAGAACAAACATTAACAGAGTAAGTATTACAATTTGCTAGGCATAGTTGTATTTAGTACTAAATTCAAGTAAATAATAGGTATTAAAATAAATATCTAGGTATTGTATTTGATTATTTGAAAATAAAAATTACATATGCGACAATGGACTTTCCGCTTACTTAGCCGTAATATAAATATGACACATTGTCGTTGCAATGCACATACAGGCTGTTCCAATAGTGTGACAAAGTTTATAATTATTTTCAGTTATAGTTGTATAGGGCAAAATTTTCAGGCCAAAAACAAGATTTTCTGAATGTTTGATTCGGTCTGAAAATAACGAATAATGGTAATAATAATAAATTAAATGTGAATGTGAGCAAATAACTTTTTTCGTATCACTACTACAGGCAGTTCTACTAAACTTTATCGCACTATTGTGTATTGTGTATGACTAGATATATCATTATGGTAAATCAAAAGCATAATAGGTAAAAATGTATAATTTTTGTTTATAACAAATATTATCTGGTAAAATTCTTTTCTTACTTTCAGATACAGAGACAGTTAAATATAACCGGAAGAAGTCTACATGTTATTTCGTGATATACCTATAGTGGTGAAAACAACCGGCTCTATGTAGAACAAATTAAGAAAGATGAAGAATTATGGGAAAAAATAATAGCAACAAATTGGAACAATTTTATAAAAATTGTATACTACCTGAAATAATATACAAAAATATTCCACAGGAAAAAAGATGTATGGATCCTATATTATAGAAGCACAAATTAATAAAAAGAAATAATTTTATTTTATGATTTTTAAAATTTTTTCCTGTTTTACTGTACCTACTCTATGTATTTCTTTATTACTTTCGTTTATTTACATATTTATTAAACTACACCGTTCCACAGAATTTCTGTTTATACTATTTTTTCAAGTAAAGTGAACTGAATATTTCTCATAAAAAAAATTAGTCTCAAATTGTCCTTTTGTACATAATTCTTTACAAAATAAGTATATCGTACATATTTTTTATATTTTCTCATTATTATGTATATTCACAATTAAAATTCTATTTATATTAATATGCGATTTTTTTTTATCAATAATTACTTGATATTAATTATTATTTTTTTTTTCTTTCATTTCTGTTTATACCAAAGTAAGCCACTTTATTCACATTATAATCGTAATTATAACATAACTTTCCGTTATGAACTACTTTTCTTATTAACATTTTTTTATATTATCAAAAACAAAAGCAGTTTATTCTTCAACGTTATTAATTTTGTTAAATTTCTGATCCCCCTGTATATATATATAAAATTAAAGTTCCTCATGACAACCACATTCAATTAAAAAGCAAAATATTTTTTGTCACGAATTACTTTTTCTAGTAAAATTGAAAATAAAAATGTTTTCCCTCTTATCCACTTTAACCGCAGACATACCAATATAGGTATAGTAATTATAAATTATTGTTTTAAATAAACTAAAAATTGTTTATATTTCATATTTCCTAAAATTATAAAATAGTATGGATTTGCACTGTTAGTTATACGTTATATACTTTTATACAATAATATATCTAAAATGATCATGACATTCTTTAAATATTTACGTATCAATTAACAGAAACCAAGACTACCAATTCAGAATCAGGTTATACCAAATTGACCACAATACAACAGCTGTTCGTTAAAAATAACCCGAGTCCATTCTAAAATTAATTTTTACTAGTGCGACATCTATTACAAATCAAGCGAATTAAAGCTCAGACATAATGTGATTTATGAATGAATATTTTTTAATAATTTTATTCCAATATAACTTTTTAAATAATAAAGTATTGAACAAACTATGAAATAAAGTCTAATCAGTTTATTTATTAAAAGACAACTATATAAAAAATTGCATAATTCTATAATACTATGAAGAAATAATCGTTTGTTTGTAAAAGTCCCAAAAACCTTCATATTCAGAAATTAATTTCTCACGAATTATTTACCTATCCCAATTAATTTTTGCTTTACTGTCTTCGTTCATACTTTGCCAAATGTGATATGAAACTTTACCACTTTCTTCTATTGCTTTAAAATGATATATTGGAATAAAAAAAGGGCTGTTTTCTACTACTTTTCGGTATAATATAGGCAACCAGGGGTGCGTCAGTTCCCATCCTTAATGCAAGAGATGTAAAATTAAATAAGTTATGGAGTTATAGGGTCAGTTGGGGTAATTGTAAACGATTATAATAAAATCAACTTTGATAAAGTCTAAAATTTGAAGTTTAACAGTTGTGAAGATAACCTTAATACTGGACATTCTTTGGAACACCTTCTAGAATGCCTTAAACGTGCAACTTAACATTGTTAACCGTTACCGAAAAAAAGGGTGTTTACAATTACCCATGAAAAAAAAAAAAAAAAATTTTGAAATATTGGGGCAAATGTAAACTAACTATTTATCGTTCTATAAATTCTAAATGATTTTCCTATTCTAGCTCGAGCTATAAGACAATTCGCAAAGTCGTTTCTACATCTATATTGGGATTGCAAGACGGCGCCCTGCAAACTCATAGGCTTCATGGTATTTTTTCTTCGTTTAATCCTTAGATATGTAACGGCAATAGGAATATTGTAAGTCTCCCTGTAAATTTTATTGATATTCTCTACATCATTAACAGCATTAATAAGATCCAATTCGCTGTATCTTTCAATGTTCGGTCGTTTCTTCTGATAATCTCGCACCATTGTGTTTCTGAGAGTATATAGAAACGCGTTTACAATTACCCCTGAAATGCTTTTACAATTACCCCGTTACAAATTTTTAACGGGGCAATTGTAAACACACATCTACTATGAATTTGTGAAGCCTAACCTAAAAAAGTAACGTGATTTCACATTGTTCATTCAATAATGAACGCTACTATATAAATAAATTGCCTTATCTTATCAAAAGCAAATTCTGCTTAACAAACTTTTGAGGCGTATCTCCGAAAAATAACTGCCACAAGCAGAGAACCAACACAATGAAATCGTTATTGCTGTACTATAACAAAACAAAAATCCACATGTCACGAATGCCGTTGTACGTCGTTGCTACCAGCCAAATTCAAAAGTTATGAAGCTTGTTTACAATTGCCCCTGTTCATGATTACCCCAACTGACCTTACCGTTACCTTTTAAATTATTGTTAAAAATAGTCTTCTTACCTCCCTTCCTCATTTTCCGATTTTATGTCGATACTTTCAGCTTTGATAGACATTTCCATCTCGTTGATGTCGATTTCTTTGTCCTGGCTTTCAGTCTTAACCAATAAATCAGATGGTGACGTATCTATCTGACTCTCTGGGGCTGAACTATCAAAAATACTTTTAGTTTTTTCTTCCACCTCTAAGCAATCTTTCAGGAAACTGTTGTGAGTGCACAGAGAATCAAGGCATTCCTTACATACAACAGGATCTTTGATGATGTTTATAATCTGCAAAGTAGTTTTTTAAGTTCTGAAAAATGCAAGAATTTAATATCGTTCATACCAATTCAGGAGCCAACTTCTCGATAGCTTCAAGTTCCACTTCACGTACACACTTAAACTCATTTTCTACTGGATGCATACACAATTGACATATTTTCTGGCCATCTGCAATATCCATTGACTCGCTTGTCCTTTGCTTTGTATACACGTCTCTTATATCGAGCTGTAACGTTTTTTCACAATCCACATATGGAATAATTGCGTAATTGGTCTTCAGACAAGTTGACTTAAATTCTACTGCTGCGTCTAACTTTCTTCTGCAATCGTTACATATAACCTCCTTGCCTTCGATATCAAATTTCTGTAATATATGCAACTTTAACCAGAGAAAGAAAATAACTTTGGCGGAAAATATAAATTATTGTTAAGTCGCTGTAATGTGCTGAGGTGCGCGAATTGAGATATACAGTGTGTCCCACTTAAACATTAGCAACCCATGTAAAATTGTTATTCTATCACAACAAAAATTGGTATAGCCGGGTTTCAGATAGTCCTAAATAAGAATCCGGTGGTTTTTGTCAAAAAAAAGTCGCTAATAGTATTTCTCGTTTTTTCTTCCTATAAAACGCGTCTCAGTTGGTCATGACTTAGGCCGGTGTCCCATGCATCCAAATTCCGATGATACGAAGGTCCGAAAGTGTTCCTATTGGTTAATATACATTCAAATTTTTACCGCTCATTTTCATCCGAAATTTTTAAAATTCATACGTCGGAAAAAGTAGAAATAATTTTAACTTTTATCCGAAATCGTATGTTTTTTAACCTCACTTTTTAAGTTTTTAACATACTATGATTGTTGTTTGATATATTTACAGTCAAATAAATGTTATATTATAATGTCGAATGTAGAAAATATAATATTACGTATATTTTCTATAATATATAACTATGGTTGTAATTTGAAAATGTTTCATCTTCATCTTGTAATAAATTCCATGGTTCTGTACTTGATTTCTATGAGATTAATTTCGGATGCATGTGAATTATAATATTATCATTCGTACGAATTAAAATATTTCCGGATATCGTACATCGGATTTCGGATGCATGGGACACCGGCCTTAGGCCACCAAAATAACGAAATTATACATTCTACTCCTTTTTCTGAAATCTATCAAATAGAAAAGTTTAAATAAATTGGTCAATAAATAACAATCAATTTTACATGGGTAGCTAGTGCTTAAGTGGGACACACTGTATATACATTAGGGTGCTTTGTTTCAAACGTACATTACTTTTTTCGTTTCATTGACGAAATATAGTTCTAAACATCGGAAAAAAAATTCTCACCAAATTTCAGCTATTAATTTTAGTTTTTAGAACACGCTATTTTATTTTAAAATTTTCCTATTCATTTAATACGTAAACCTACCTCAGCTTCATTTCAGATTACTTAATTGTTAATAGACGATAGTTATAGGGGAATCTTTGTTCTTTGAAAGCGCCCATAGCAGGATCTATGTGACTTGAACGGCTTCACCGTAAATATTTTTAGAATTTTTTAATTTTCATCGGTTTTTTATTTTTCTCATAAATAACTAGAGTTACAGCAAATGTGTGAACATATATACATACCATCCAAAATTATAGTGGGCTCTGTTAAATAATTCATTATGATTAACCTTTTTCACTCTAAATTTGAAATATGCTTGCATTTTTTATTTGTAAAGTATCAGGATATTAATTTTAACAGATCGAGATGCAATTCATGAGAAATATCCACTACTTTGTCAGAATTCCTCTTCGATCACCATATCCTATGATCATTAAAACTCCAATATGTTCGGTTTCACTTAAATGTGTCATTTTGCGAGAAAATTATTCACACTAAATGTATTTTCGACATGCGTTCTCAAGATAATCAGTATTAGACGAAAGAACGACGCGGTGTCGTTATGGAGCTAAAAGCCTTTGAGGGTAACTTGATGCACTAAAATATTTTTGTATGATTTTCAAAGTTCGATATCTTGAAAACGGTTAAGTTTAGATACATGATGTGCTATATGAATTTTGTTTAGAATTTCGAAGAGAATTGAAATATGGAATAATATACAACGTGTTGCAATAAAGAAATAACAACTTTGTTTTATCACGACTGCTCCTGTACATGTATACCTAACTTTTCTTTATTGTAATAGGTTTTAAAAAACCATAAAACGTTTGTCTTATGATTTTTCCATACTTATCTTACTTTACGAGATAATCGACCGTTCCCATATACACCAGAGACTCCGAACTGATACATATCTACCACCGACTTACCAATTTCAGCAAAAGGCCATCTAAAATATCTCTAATAACGTTGTCTATTACCTCAAAACCTTTAACGGTTACAGTTTTGAGGCACAGCTTACACGAAGTATCTTGAACACCGGTCATTGCAACAATTTTCTTTGAAATGTAAATTAATATAAAATCATAACTCGTGTTGGTTGTTTAACCTCAATGAAAACATAGAATAGAGTTATTATTCTTCTTCCTCTTCTGTTATCGGAACAAGAATGGTAATGTCTAGTCTACAATTCTTGCACAATGATTACGGAGTGCTGGAAAACAATTTTTCTTGTACACAGCACTAATGTGGTTCTTCAGAACCTGGCGCTGTTGGTTTACATCTGAAATACCTGTTTTTTTTTCTTGAAGACGCTTTGCGATTAAATTGTTTGTATTAGGTGTAGTTTTCAATTTACTTGAAACAGAATAGTAACTATAATGTATTTTACATTTGAAAATTTGTTCTATCGGCAGATGACGTCATCAACGAAATGCCGAATTCCGATTTGAAGCAAATCTTAACCCTATCATGTACTTCCAGCATTCCAAACATTAGTACCAGCAGATTATCTTTTATTTGCGTGGCCACCACGTTCTCCTGAATTAAAAACCATCACCTATTTTTATCGGGAAATAACATTGGTTTTTGTTGGTCAAAACATTATTAAATTTTACGAGTCGGTGGACAAAATTTTGAACGTTTACTGATTACATTTAGCAATAATAGAATTTATTACGTCTTCCCGTTTTGCCAAGTAGATGGCGCCATCTATCAATAATGGTAGACACTACCTTACATGGCCGCCTCGTTGACTGAAATATTGTACAGAATATTTCAATCAACGGCCGTCTAAAATTTAAAGTATACTGTAATATTTACTAAGCATCATATATTAGTACTATTTTTAACCGAAAGATGGCGCCACAAATTTGACTCTCGTCATGACTTTAGCACGTATTGTACGAATTCTAGAACAAAACAGTTATCATTTTGGTTCAGATCAATTTGCAGATTTTTATGTGCGAAAGAACAAAAACTGTGTAAAAATAAACAAATGTAAAGGCATACGAGTAACTAAATGTTCAGTGCGAACAGCCGAGCTGAGCGGACGTACTTGTTTGTGAGGTGAAGTGATTGCAACGAGCAAAATCTACCTGCCTTTATTAAGGCTACCTGGAAAGAATCCCTTTCTTTCCTTTTAATCACCGACCTAATCCCCGGCTAAGCATNTAAAAAATATGATGACATTAAAATAACACATCGTCATACAAATGCAATTTGTATTATTCATTAAATTATTTTTCATTAGTTTGACAGTCTACTTGATTAAAAAAAATTATTTACAGTTACAAACATATCTACATACCAATATTAGTTGATATTTAATAAATGAAAGTTGGTTTAAATACACATCATTTATATTTGTTTTGTGCATAGATACTCAACAAATTGTTGACACTCCACCTAACTTTTTATTCGGTTTTAAATAAAAAAAACAAACCTGTGAATATAATGATTGTTGAAGAGTTAGATTAAGAAATATTTATTTTTTTGTGTAGATATATTTCTTTATTCGATATTTATTTAAAAAATCTAATATTTCTATTTTTTTGTTACATTGTTACTGAAATATATTTTTTCTACTTGCTAAAACAGACTTTTAGTACACTTACCTGTCCAATACTGGTTCGATTCAAAATTTATTAAAAAAAAAACAAAAAAATTTCGAACCGAGTCAATTTCATTATTTAAAATTTGATGCAAAAAAGTTTCAGTCTAACTTTTTTCGAAAAATTAGTAGTTTTCTTAGCAAGAAATAAAATATACACATCCATTTCCAAATAAATTATCTGAGGGGTTATTAGGTGAAACAGTGAAGTAGGCTGTTGTCAAAGACATGATGTGACATGGCAAATGTCATTGTTTTTTTTTCTCAAGACATAAGATATTTAATGTTTTTAACTAAATGCGAAATGTTTGTTAAAGGTAAATGTAATTTGCAAACAAAGGTTTATATTTTAATGATTTATTAAAGAGATAAATTTATCAATATCTTGATGTATTTCATCTCATTTAATAAGTAAAAAATTGTAAATAAAAAAAAGTAATTTTTAAGGTTAACGTCAACCGTATAATTGGTGAAGTAAAATTGCAGTAGTTCATTTGCAGGCCAAAGACACGCCCGCCAAGTGTGCAAATTGCGCCGGGCCACACCCCGCCAGCTATATGGGGTGCCCCCAGTACCCCAAAGCTAAAAACACAAAACACAGACACACACACGACACAAAACACTACACAAACACACAGACAGCCCCTCCTACCCACCCCAAACACAACCCCAGGACGCACATACGCTGACATGATGAGATNCATTGGGAACAAAACTTGAGAAACGCTTATTTTGACTTATAATAGCTCATTCTTTTAATTTTTAAAATAAATATCTAACTTTCACAGATTACTCTTCAAATGACAATTGAAACAGTGAGCGATATGGAAAAAATCTTAAAAATTTAATTTGAAAAATATTGAGCCCAACATATTCAATAATTTTAAAATGATAGCACTTTTTAAAGCTTAAAATCTCTACTTTAAGATGGTGCATTTTATTTTTCTTAAGAAATTGAAATAATAGTTGAAAAAACAAAAAATTAAAAATTAAAATATTTCGTGAAAAATCCGTGAAATTTATTGTTAAATAAAGTTTAATAATGTACAAAATTTTTTTTTGTTTAATAAACCATCAAAGAATTAAGTTAAGACCTTAAAGAAGGTAAATCCAGCGAAAAATATATTTTTATTTATAGTAATAAGTGGAAAATTGTTATAACAGCAAAAAAATAACGTTTTTTATAGAGAATATAAATTCTCTTATTGATGTAGATATAGATATGAGTCTAATATATATACAGGGTGTTTATTAATTGATTGCCGATACTTAAGGGTGTGAATCCTTGGGTCATTTTAACAGGAAAACTTAATATCAGCATATGCCCTAAACCTCTTAATTTTTGAGCTACAGGGTGTTACAGTTTTAAGAAAAAATTTACTTTTTTATTATAATTTTCTTATCACTCCAGATATTTTTATGAAATTTTGTACACACCTATTAATCATTAAGGAGCATTGTTTGATGTAAAAAAATTATTTATTTATTTATTTATTTTATTTATTTAGTTGGAAACAACTGCCAAAACAGGACGGAGCCCAATTATAAGGCAGGTATAATGCAGATTAAAAAAACAGATAACATTTACATGCAAATGTTTTAAAATTTTTGCCAATGACGTCCGTACGAGGTTTGAACTAAACATTTTTGAAGAAAAAAATGGTACGCCACTGCTTTTTCTAAAAACTAAAATTATTTTTAAAATCTCCATTTATTTTACAGCAAATTCGGTCCCTAGACTTACTCTCGTACGACGCACCATTTGCACGTAAAAAAATGAAAACCAAAAAAAGTTTTTTCCCCAAGTTCATTGAGACTGCTTTTGATATTTTGTTGCCATTTTGTAGACACCCACCATGCGTGGAAACACTTTTTGTGGGGCAAAAATTAATTTTCTACTTTCACAAATGACGTTCACGTAGGCATAATATTAAATGTTTGGATAGAAAAAACGGTAAGCTCATTAAATGCCCCCTTAAAGCAAATGAAATAAAAATTAGTAGGCTGGGTAAAGTGCCATAATTTTTTACGCTTCTTTTCGCAATAAAGTTGACATTGATTTTTCATTATTAAAAAATTATTAGAGTAGGAGGTAAAATCTCATAAAAAATGGTAAATTTTACAATCGGTGAATTAGCTGACATGCATTTTACTTATGGGGTTGCCGACGGAAATGCATACGAAGCCAGGAGGATATACCAAGAGCGGTATCCAAATCGCGTACTACCCGATCCGAGAACATTTTCTGGGATTCATAGACGTCTTCACGAAACCGGAAATTTAAAAGTAGACCACAGTGCTAAAGGAGTCCCTGAAACAGTAAGAACACCGGAACTTGAAGAAGGAATTTTACATGAAATTGAGGAGAACCCCGAAACTAGCACGAGGAAAATCGCGGCAACATTTAATGTTTCACACGTACTTGTTTGGAAAATTCTTATCGAAAATTTGTTATATCCATATCACATTGAAAGAGTCCAGGCATTACTCCCTAGAGATTTCCCGTTGCGCATTAATTTCTGTGAGTGGTTTCTTCAAAAGCTGCTGGAAAATCCGTTATTTGACAGGTACATTCTTTTTACCGATGAAGCTAGTTTTTCTCGAAACTCAATACGAAATTTCCATAATAACCATTTGTGGGCGGATGAAAACCCTTTTGCAATTGTTGAATCAAATCATCAAGAACAGTTTTCAATAAATGTTTGGGCTGGTATTATTGACGATTATTTGATAGGCCCATTTTTTCTCCCAAGAAGATTAGATGGACAATCGTATTTACACTTTCTTGAAGAAGATCTGCCGCCAATGCTTGAAGACCTTCCTCTTTTATTAAGAAACCAGATGTGGCTAATGCACGATGGTGCGCCTCCACATTTTAGCTTACGGGTGCGTGAATTTTTAAATCACAACTATCGCGATCGGTGGATAGGCCGCGGAGGAACGCAGTCATGGCCGCCCAGATCTCCCGACCTTAATAGTTTAGACTACTTTTTCTGGGGTCATCTGAAAAGCTTAGTGTACGCAGTGCCGATTCAAACCGAAGAAGAGTTACGAAATCGTATAATAGTATGCTGCCAAACCATAAGAGACACCCCAGGAATTTTTGAAAATGTACGTCAGTCTATGCGAAGAAGAGTAGATGCTTGCATACGTGTGGGTGGAGGACACTTTCAACAACTACTGTAAATACATAATAAATACATTATGACACTTTACCCAGCCTACTAATTTTTATTTCATTTGCTTTAAGGGGGCATTTAATGAGCTTACCGTTTTTTCTATCCAAACATTTAATATTATGCCTACGTGAACGTCATTTGTGAAAGTAGAAAATTAATTTTTGCCCCACAAAAAGTGTTTCCACGCATGGTGGGTGTCTACAAAATGGCAACAAAATATCAAAAGCAGTCTCAATGAACTTGGGGAAAAAACTTTTTTTGGTTTTCATT